ATTTCCTATGGCATACAAAATAGAAAGTTTATTTCTGATGTTATGAGTACAACATGGAGTCATGAGTAGTTATGCTTTGTGAGGATTGTTTAAGACACCTTGACTACACTTTGGCAAGTTTGTTTAAAATGTAATAGTCTAGTATCTTACATTTTCTCCTATGTTAGAGTCTTTAATGAATTTCATTTAGACTTGTGTTTAATGTGTAAATAGATTACTTCTCTTTTAAAACACATAGCACGACTTTCACATTAACTTGCCGGCTTACCTTTACATTGTTGAATATCATATATTTATGGAAATGTGCCTCAAAAGAAAATATTGTGATGAATCCCTCTTCTTGATGCTCTTATAAAGGTCTTTGCATTAAGATTTCATAGATTTGGTCGCTAACGAAGATTGCTTTTTTTTTTTAGAAGTCTTTTGGAGGCTTTGTGAGTTTATTTTGTATCAAGGAGTTTTGTGAACTTGCTCTTTGTAGGAAAGGATTCTATTTTGCTTGTGTTGAGGTGGCTTAGCATTAGTTTTAGATCGATTTTGTTTTAAAAAGAAAAGTTTTATGCGATGAATTTTGCGAAGGCTTTGTAATGAGGGGTTTTATAAAACTCCCTTATTGTAAAGTTTTATGTTTTCATACCCCACTCCAAATGAGAGGAGGGGCACTTGATTAGTGGTTCTTTGGGTAGGATTTTGTGTCAAAAAGAGATTTTGGTAAAAGATTTTGTAGAGTTTTTGTGTCAAAACAACAAAATGAAAAGAAAAGTGATTTTAGTAGATAACTTTTGGGAGGTTTTGTTGTAGTTCTTACAAATCATTTTGGGATCTATGATTTTATAATTGAACTCGTTTAGTAAAGATCTCTTAGTATCTTTTGGGGGGGGGGAGTAGTTAGTGCTTTCCTATTGGAGTTAAGACCTTTTAGTGGTTATGGTTAGGGATGAGTTTTTTAGATTTAGATTTTAGGAAGTTTTAGGTTAAATTCCCTTAAAGTCTCTTTCTATAGGATGAATTTTGGAGTTTAAGGTATTAGAGAACTTTAGGTTGGAAAGTCTTTAGTGTCCTTTTGGGCGTAAGATAGTTCTTACTTGTTTGAGTTAGATTCCTTTAGTGTTAGCTTATATAGAAAAGAAGTATATAATTTTGGGAGAGATACAAGATAAGAAGACTCTTATTTTGGATTTGGAGTTGGAAATTCGTATCCCCTAGTTGATATAAGATTTGTTCAGAATGTGTTGTAGGTAGGTGTCTCAAACGTATCAAGTGCCTCGTTTGGAGTGGGAACAGCAAAGGGCATTGTTGCTGTTATAGGATGCACTTGACTTCTACGAAGTGTATCCAATAATAACGATGCCCACACCCTTTTTTTTTGTATTTGATTTTCGTTCTTTTTATATTCTTCGCATTTAGTTGCCTTTTGCTTAGTTTTACTAGTTCTTCACTGTTTCTCTCGCATTTCGGTACTGCACACCTACAAACTAAGGAGAATCCACAGACATACGACTCAATAAATAATAAAAGGTATGTTCTAGTTTTTATTGCATTTTTTTCATTTCCTTATACTGTTATTTATTTATAGAACTGCTATAATACTTATCTTTCTTTTGTGTTGCGAGGTACCTTTTGGAAAGCAATGGACAAGGAGCACTTGGAGCTGAAGCTAGGACAATCGGACCCAAGCATCAGTCGTCCCTACCCATCTGGTAGGGGCGCTACGGGCGGAACCACCGGGTCGTAGCCCCCGGTGCTGTAAGTTTACTAAAACTTAGAAAACCTTTAGGGGCCTAGATGATTGTACGCCTCCCACCCCTAGGACCTTAGAAACTTCAATTATATATTTAGGACTGCTTTTGTTTTATTTTTAGATCCCTAAATCCTTTGACATCCGTGTAGAAGTCTTAGGAATTAGAAGAACAACAACACTTTTAGTCCTACAAACATTAGTGACATCTAAGGACAAAAATTAAGGACCGAGTCTTAGAAAACATAGACTTAGGGTGCATGTTCCTTATAGGATAGAGACTTTAAAACAAAAACCTAGTGACACGTTTTCCTATATTTGGATTTTCTTTTCTTAATTCATTAATAATCAACTAATCAATCTTAACCTAATTCATAAAATATGTT